GCGCGTTTTGGGTCCTTGGGATGATGATCATCCTTCGTACGTGTTGGGGCGTGAGGGGGGATGGCCCAGCTGGGCGGTGCCGCGCATCCTAGTGTGTGCATCATCTCGAAGATTCTTGATGCGGAGGCTGTGGAATTTCTTGATGCGGAGGGTTGCGATGCCAAGATTTTCGAGATGGGAATCAGCCTATTGATCGTTTGGACTAGTTCTTGGGCATCTTGATCGCTTTATTGATTGCACGGTAAGGAATGAAAGATTTTCGAGAATGGCTTTTTGTGTGTTTCCCACAGACGGTGCCAATCTGATGATGCTCAATCCGAGGTTGTGCACGAACTGAGGACAGCAACCTGATAGTCTTTTCTAACAGGGTGGGGCCGAACTACAAGGACGAGGTCGCGCTTCAAGACCCGTGATCAAGAAATGAGTCAGAGGCCCGAGGAGTTATCCCCGGGTAGGTACTCCGACGCTCAAGTCAGTAGGATGTGATGGATGGCCGGGCCGAGCTATAGGGATGTCGGTCCAAGCTAATTAGTAGTATGGGTGTTAGAAGTTGGGGATCTCTTACCTCGAGCATGGAGTACCTTTTTATAGCCAAAGATCTGTGTCCTGATCGGATTGGGCTTTCGGGGTTGTCAGGATGAGGTTAGCCGCCGAGGTATTCGGGATAAAGCCCCATTCCCTAGCGGAGTCTTCCTTATTCCTCTTTATACGTAGTTGTGCTCATCCACGTAACGTGTAATTGATGTGGCTGAAAGGAGAAGATGGGGGCCACCATAATAACGTAACTTGGTCGAGTTATAACAACGTAGCTGGACGATAACTGGGCGGTCGCGTGTCTCTCAGGGCCGGTTCATCCATATATATAAAATATTCTTCTCATCTATCAATTCAACTATATACCTAATCTACACTCTAGATTCTAGGGGACTACATTTTTTTTTCACGAAGAAAAGACGGCTAGAAAAGAATGTGCATCAATTATTAGAAATCACAAATTTAAATGATTTTAAATAACTTTCAGGAAGAAAACTGTATTATATCACATGGGTCCTCCAATTCTTGACTCTTCTCCTTGGAAACATGGGCTTCATTCTTCTAGGCGGCAGAGCTCTAAAGGTTTGTATGGATTTTATTTTATTTAACTTTTTATTTTTATTCATGGACTAATTAACATATCATGTTCGATTCCATGAGAACAGGAAATCAATTCAGAGTTTAAAGTCTGCCCCTCCAGTCTCCAACTTTTCATTGCCATATCCGGGGTGGCCTTCTTTATGTTCTCATTTGTTGTTCCGACAATGTCCGCCATGAGACGCTGGTTGGCAGGCTCAACGATTCTAACATCCATCTACATTGTCATGCTCTTAGCCATATTAATAAAAGATGGTGAGATATAGTTATTAAGGGACCATTTGGTTTGCAGTCAGAAGTCAGAACTGGAAACAAAATGATATATTCCCATAGTTTATTTAGTTTAAATAAAAATTGGAATGAGAATTGAAATCAGTTGAAATGAGATTTTATTCTTCAAGAAAAGAGAGAGAGAATGGTCATTCCCTCAAATAGAAGAATTTTTATTCTACTATAAATGAAAATGGGATTTCAATTCCATCCCATTAAACAATTGGAATCAAAATGACCAGTTCTAATTCCGATTCCAAACCCCAATTCACGTGAACCAAATGGGTCCTAAAGGATAGGTGCATACATGCATAACTAAGGTCCATTTGGTTCTTAAATAATTGGAATTGGAATCAAAATCCTTCAGAATCAGAATTAGAATCGGAGTCAGAATGGTTTATTCCCATAGTCTATTTGGCTTAGACAAGAATAAGACTGAAAATTGAAATCAGTAGGAATGAAAATTTCATTCCCAAAAGAGGGGCCATTCTCTCAAATCGGAATAACCGATTTCAAACCCTTATTCCTGCATACCAAACGGCGCCTAAAAGTCTAAAATTATGCATTGGGGATTGGCCAACTTGTTAAGGCGTTTCTGTTTTCTGAAGGTAAATCTAGGACGAAAGTGGATTACAACATTGGCGGAAGCCAATTAGATAAGGTATTCAAATCCTTCGGCGCAATTTCTGCTATTATTGTCAGCAATACCTCGGGCTTGCTGCCAGAGATTCAGGTTAGTTACACTTCTATTGGATGGATGATTGAAAGTTGAAACCTGTGATCGTTATGATTTCTAACACATAAATATTTATACAGTCAACTCTCCGTCAGCCGGCTATTAAGAACATGAGAAGAGCTTTATACCTGCAATACACGGTTGGGCTTGTATTTTATTACGGTGTTACCCTCGTCGGATATTGGGCCTACGGTTCGTCTGTGTCCGAGTATATCCCCAAAGAACTTAGTGGGCCTAGTTGGGCTAAGGTCATGATCAACATTACGGTCTTCCTCCAGACAATAATTTCTCAGCATGTGAGCCTTCTTCTCTTTCATGTTTGTTCCTAGGTTAGCACAATTCAGTGATTTAGTAAAGAAGCATCATTGGATGGAGCAAGGTTTGGCTGAACACTATCGCTGTGTTGATAAAATTTTACGTCAGTATTTAAATACATGAGGCCTACATTCATCTTTTACAGTGGGGCCATTAATTTATTACTGACCTAAAACCTCATCATTAATTTTACAGCATGCTAAACAACCACGGCATTCAGCTAATCCGAATTCCATTCGATATAGATTGGAACTCGGATTTGCTTACCCTGACAGACGCTACCCACAAGACACTACAGCCACACACCAGGACCATCATGTGGGTAGCGTTGTCAGTAGCGGGATCCGGAATCAGATAGGTTGAACCCCTGGCTCCCAATATAAGAGAAAACCTTGCATTGGCACAGCTTCATGTGGATTAAATGGTTGCACCTTGTAGTTAATTGGACTGAACTGGAGCTAAATGTTTGTAGATGTTCATTGCGCCGATACATGAGGCTCTTGATACAAATTTCCTAAAACCTGATGAGAGAATGGACTCCAGGGAAAATCTTAAACGCCGCCTCGTTTTGCGTGCAGCCATCTTCACACTGAACACATTTGTGACAGCTGCATTTCCTTTCATGGGTGACTTTGTGAACTTGCTTGGGTCATTCTCGCTCTTTCCACTGACCTTTGTGTTCCCAAGCATGGTTTTTATGCAGGTAATTATTAACTTGATTGTTAACTGAAAAGGCAACTTTTTCCTGATCATGGGTTCATGGCTGACCTTGTGTCTTCCTTTTCTTGATCTCACTGTTGCAGGTCAAAGGGAAGACAGCTAGAAAGAAAGAAAAGATGTGGCATTGGGCCAACATTGTTGTTTTCTCCATTCTCACTGTAGCCACAACAATCTCTGCTATCCGCTTAATTGTAAACAATGCGAGGGTTTATCATTTCTTCGCAAACAGATGATAACCCTGTGTGCATTCTTCTCTTACAACTTTACAAGTTTATAGAGAGTGTATTAAGCTTGCCTAGATGGTATTATTGTTGGTGTTTATCAGATTTTATGATTCAAATTAAATCCTTTTAAGTTTTATTCGTTCTCTTTTGACTTGTGGAATGTCTTCAGTCTTGCCTACATGACCTAAAAAGAAATTTCACTTATTGTTTTGTGGACTTGGTATATGACTTATAGGAGCTATGGACAGAGCACACTTGGACCATTGTACTCACACACACGTGCCAAATTAGGCCACTAAGACGCCCGGAACCACTGACTTCGGGGAAGGGATTATTAGAGTGGTGCTACGCTTTTCAAACGGACCCTATAGGGGATTTGGGCATATATCACCAAAATACAAAAAAAAAAAAAAAAAAAATCCTTCACATAAAATTTAAAGTATTATTAAATTGAACACTTAACACTCCATCAGGGTAGGGGCATGTATCCAACGGGTAGGATAGAAATTACCATCCCTAACAAGAAGCCTCAGAAAAATGGAAGACATTACCTCTTGTGCTCTCTATTTTGGACATACATAACACAGTGATTTGCTGTTTTTGATCAAACCTTCTGCACTGAGATATTTTCCGAAAGGCGGTGAAATTGGTTTTCAAGAGAACGAAAATTTACCGTGACTCAACCATAACGAACAAGTTTTCCTATCTTCTTCCTTAGCTGAATAAAATCGACCATTATAGATTTGGAACCATTCCTAATATTTAAAGACTGTCTAGCATACCGCTACCATTATATCTCTTTGCTGTCTGAAGATGTTATATGAAGAGAGCTTGCCTGCTGGCTTGAAAGCAGCTGAAACCGTGTTAGTTTCTCTGCCCCTATCCATATCTATAGGCTATAGCTGTGCCCGCCAGCTGTTTGCAATTCTTGGGAGAAAAAATGAGCAACTACTTTCTGGTCCTTGTTCTCTATTTTTCTTGGCAAAAATCTAGGAGGCTGGGTTTGGTTGCAGTGCAAATTTTAGATTGGATGCAAAATTTGTATTCATTTAGTTTTGTTTTCCTTGATTTGTATTGTTACCTGATACAAAATTTGTACTTTTGTCACTTTTTCCTTCATTAACAGTATAAATTTTGCATGCACCACATTCCTTCTATCTCAATTCTTTTTCATAACAATGTGGTGATCATAACATTTATTTGCACCTACTTCACTCCTAGACGGATATTTCCTCCTACTTCCATTTTCATTCATTTAAAGTGGATGTCATGGTTTTTAAAAACGAATCGATCAGGGGTCCGTTACCGGTTTAAACCGTTAATCGATCGGTTCAGTGGTTTGCTGATCAAAATCAACAGTTTTGGGGAAAAAACGGTTTTGGAGGAAAACAGAACTGATCAAGTAACCGGTTCCCAGTTTTCCGATCCGACCATCCGTCCGGTTCAGTCCGGTTTTAAAAATCATGATAAATGTCACTTCTGCAAAAATGTCCAAGCCGTAGATGTGCAGCACAAATCCTGAAATCCCTTGGAATGGAAGCTTCACCTCAGCCCTCTCCTATTGATGGGAGCGGATTAGCTGGAGACAAAAACATACACACCCGACTGAACTATCTATTATGGTTGAACACACCAGTATTCAATATAACTGGGTCTCAGATAGGACCCACAATGAGAACTGGCATGTTCAACTGTGACAGATAATTCAGCTGGGTGTGTATGGTTTTGTCTCCGGCTCATCCGGACTGCCTATTGACATCATTGATTCAAGTGATACACCTTGATGTAAAGTTTGGTAATTAGTTGAGTATACTTTTTATTTTTGCTCCGCGTTAGTCCATTGCCAAGTTTATAGTCAACTTCAGTTGGTTCTGGTTCCACCATTCATCATTTACTTTTTTCCTAGTTGCCTTGTTTTGATATCAAATTGAACTAAGCCAGATTGCTATTGAACTCCTTGCTAAGATGTCAGTGATAATGTGTAGTAGGTGACTGAAGCTTCTACGTACGCTATAAGATATTAAAGAGCCCTAAGCTCATAGTTACCATTTAATCTTTTAATCCTTTTTACAACAACATTTGGGTACTAATAATCGATCTAATATACAATACAACATATATACAATTTACACCCTTACATTGACATTCTTATGCAAGCATATAATTAGTCAAGTTTCTCCAAATGATCATACCTAACATTTTTGACTGGTTTATTATAATATATTGGGTGCTCCTTCCCTCTCCCAACATGTACTCTAAAATTGAAATCGGTCTCTCACAATTAATTAGTTGGTTCATAATAATATTCTTCTTGGTTTCCATTGGGGTGTTTTGCAGTGGTTGAACTTGTTGTGGTGGTAACGATTTTGAACCATTGACTTGTAGGGTCACAGTTAGGCGCACCACTCGAGCATTTGCATGGATTAGTGATGATGGAGTTGCTGGAGTCAACATCTAAGCACACACTGCTTCCATCAGCAAGTTTGGATGAAAGATGCATCTTGGTATCTGATATTAAATCCCATTTTGAACCAGGATCGTTGCAGATGATTCCAAGCTTGGCTGGCTTCCCCACCCCATCGGCTTGTAAGCAAAAATATGTTCCCTTCACCACTAAAGTCTTTTGGGGTGTATAGGCCCATGACTCGGATTCCACACAAGACCCCAGCTTCAGTGGCTCTATTACAGACTTTCTCAAAACACAAAGGCCGGTTGATGGATGGAAAATCATCTCATGTGGCCTTACATTTAAAAGATCATCAGGACCTGCATCTTACATTAAAAGATACATGTTTTTAACACCATAACATTAAAAGATATTGGTATAAACAATATAATTAGCAATTTAGGCTCCTCACTTTTCAGTAAGTAATAAATATATTTACTACCCCGAGTAAGTGTTTCCTAGGAAACATATATCCGGGTAAATTCATTTACCCATGTTCTTTTATTTTTTATATAAATAAGACAACTATCATTTTATCCATAAAAATCTATTATTAAAATGGACATTTTTATAGCATTCAAGTTTTGGCAACTTTCCTCTAGGTGGAAAAGTTATTTACCCAACTAATATATGGGTATCACTTACCTAATCCCCACATAAATCTGAAAAAAGAACATGAATTTCTTGGTAATTAAAACCAAAATCACATTAACCAACTTCCCCCCACCTCCTCTCAAAATCCAAAAAGTGAACGCCCCCTTAAAGTCTCACAGTCAAGATTTTGATCCCTAGTGAAGTAATGAAGAAAGTATCAATTTAAGTATAAACATACCTAGGAAGGGAGACTGGAGTAGAGATACCCTCTTCATGGGACTTGCATTGCCAGTCCCAAACCACTCTGAGTTCAAGAGCCCATAAGCCTCATCTATACCTGTTCCCAGAGCCCAATCCAAGTCCTTTTCAGCTGCAACACCTAATAAGCAATTCAAGAACCTAATGTCATTTACGTTGCCGCCTCTCAGATCTGGCCTAAAATCACTGAGAAACAATGGCCACCCTTCGCCCAACACAAACTGTCCTTCCATCATCAGTTTATCAACCACATTTCCACAGAGCTGGTTCAGGTCGCCTGTCTCCCAGGCCTTTTCATCCGAAAATCCGGACCAGTGAACCCCAAACACTAGCTTCCTTGTAAATGGTAGGTTCATTGGCTGCTTGGCAAAGAAAGCAAAGTCTTCATCATAATTCAGCTCATAAAGTATAACAAGAACGTTTGGACTTGCTGCATGCACTGCTTCAGCACCCTTCTGCATGTACCTGATATGGCATATACTGAAGGTATTAGTTTCCAGAATCAATATAATACATGCAACACAGACAGGGTCATCCTGACTCCTGATCCAGTTTGCTCATGCATGACAGCCCTTGCCTCTCTCTCTCTCTCTCTCATTGAGTAACTCATGAGCACCCTAAAATGTTTATCACTCACTGGCTTGAAATCCAGACAGATTAAGATTGTTAACTTTTTTCTGTTTTCAATCCAATGAGTTCTACACACATAAAGGGCACACAGTAAACGATGAGAGCATGCTCACTAGACCAACACTAGCTTTGCATCGCATTATTATCAGTTTTTTTTTTTTGTTTTTTTTTCAACTCTGTGTATGCAATATTCATCTTCTAATCTATTGGAATAGCGACGGTACCTGTACCAATTGTTCACATTCTGCTTGTTTCCTTCAAACTCATTGCTTAGGCTCATGCCAACAACATTGATTGTGTGATTGAATATGGTTGCCGTTCGAGTTAGCCCTCTGATCCATAGATCCGTGTCAAAGTACTTGTCACCGTTGAAGTTGCTATGATGCCAACCCGGCTTGCTTATGCGATTATCCAATATGACCATCAAATTTTTCTCTGCAAGGTTATCTACCACGGCCTGGGGATGAATCAATTAAATTATACATAGATTATTGTCATTTCATTTTATTTTATTGGGTAATCACCATATAAATCAAGAAAGTAAATTATAATGTTTATTACTTCATATATCGATCAGAACAAGCTATATTGAGGAATGCTACAGCAATAACTCCATGACAGAGGTACTAAATCAAGAAAGGAAAACAAAAATCCATTTCACCAGTTTTTGTTCCGACATGTATGGGGCTTAAAATTCATAACCAAGCAATCATGTATCAGGACAACTTACAGATGCTTAAAGAACCCATGCATGTATATGTATCACACAAACTTTATTAAATTAAAACAAATAAAGCCCTAACAAATAATCAGAATATTATTATCTATCTATTCTATTAGTAAATAAAGTGGTTACATGCCTTGAGGTTATGGCTATGTGAATGTCATTAAAATTATATCCAAATATCATATATAATATATGGTTAATGCTTATTTTATTCACATGCATAACACGTATTATGAATAAATTATTAATAAAGTGAAATATAAATGATTTTAAAGCAACTATACAATATAGGGATTTAGTATCTGAGATCTGATTCCATCTAAACAAACAGTGTTTTAAACACGCTGAGGCGAGAGTCTAGGATGTCTGACTCATATAGCAGAGTTGTGGGTTAAGGGGATGAGGGATGTGATATTCCCTTCAAGTTATTAAAACTGGACCGGACAGGGAACTGTTCTGGTGTGCAGTTCCTAAGTCAAACGGTCCGGTTGTCCGTCTGAATGGATGACCTGATCTGGCAAAAAAAAAAATTAAAAAAACAATCAAAAATTATTATTAGGATCAACAGTTTGACCGATCGGGTTAATAATTCGATCACTCGGATCAACAATTTATTGACCAAATCAACGATTTTTACTAAAAAATGGTTTTGAGGCAAAATAGAACCAATCAAGTGATCGATTCCCCATTTTTCCGATCCAACTGTCCAGTAAAAAAAGACTGGTAGGTTCTTTTTGGTAAATGAAAAGATTGATAGGTTGTAGTTGGACTGTTGAATAGTGGACAGTTAGTTATGACTTATATGGTACGTTATGGATAAAATTTTGCTCTGCCTGTGGAAAATAAAATTGAAACTAAAGAAAGTGTTTTGAGGGTTCATGTGAAACCAAAACACCTTTTAAACCACAAAGCACAAAAGGGCTTTGTGCTTTTGGGTTTTATTTTTTTATTGTTTTGTGCTTTTGAGTTGTAAAAGCACAAATCCTGTGTCCATCCAAACGCAACCTTACATATCCAATGTAGTGATGTATAGGCTATACAATTAGTGGGGTCCACAAATAAACTAATCAGGTCCAACTGAAGTCGATAATTTAAGGTGTTTAAGACTCTTTGGGACTTGGGTCCAACTTCAAGCCGGCCATGGATAAACACATATAATTTGTGAAAGAGAAGTAAATGAATCCAATTTTCTTGGACTTGGACCCCCAATTTTTAACGATTTGGGGGGTTGAAGTCCAAACGATCTGCATCATTCTTGGACCTGGACCCAATCCATATAATAGGGCCTCTGGGCCTGGATCTGGTCTGTACAAGTGCACTCACAACATTCCCCGGAATTGAAATATAAACAAAAAAATACTAAATTAATGTCAGGAATCTTATATAAGTGTGTTTTTCTTCGCTCCTTCCAGGATGTAACGGTGGTTGTTAAAGCCACTTCATCCAACATTCAAACAATATTCGAAAAAACGAGGCGTGGATTTAACATCCACCGTGACTTTACTTGCTGAATCGGGATGTATAATTTAATTTCACAAGGGAAAGTGGGCCGGTCTACCTGGTAAGCAGAAACAAGGGGAAGATCAAGCAGAGACGGATTGTTGACTTGGATGCCGACGATGGATTCAAGAAGACCAAGGTTCTTGAACGACTGTCGGACGGTAACCGAAGCCAAAGACTCGTCGTTGACCATGAACTGTGGCCACGTGAGCTGAACGCAGTTGAATCCCAAAGATATAATCTCCTTCGAGATCATGTCCAACGACCGCCTGCTCAGGCCGTCGGGCACCATGGCTTCGAGGTGTGCCCCCCAATTGACGCACGCCAGCTTCACCCGGTGCCCGTCTCCGTCGACGATCCACCGCGAATTAGTGTAAAGTGGCAGAGCCATCACATGGTGTTGCAGCAAAACGTTGGGAGACAGGAGCAGAAAAGAAAGGATGATGAAAAGCAAGAAAGGAAGCTTCTTCATGATTCCCAAAATCACAATCGACTCAACTGAGCCCCTTCCTTTGATTTGTAGGTTGCTCAAAACACACCGTCCTGCTTGCTTATATATATAAAAGCAAATAAGCGATTCTTTTTCCTTCACCGTTAAGTACATGAACTTAATTTACTAAAAGTTGGGGTTTGTGGCCGTTCGATGCATCTATAGACTGGAGTTAAGATGAGATGAAGGAACTCAAAAAGTCCAAGATATACACTAGCTAATTGGGGCGGCACTTCTTAATGGTCCACCAATGCCGTCAGGTCCACAAAATCCGACGCATTTTGATGAATGATGAGGTTTAACCCCTTTTTTATATTTATTGATGAGAGATTAGAGATGTGGTGTGGGGTCCACCGTCCATGATGGGTGATATTAAATTTGAAATGAACTAATGAATGATACTTTAATGGTTTCTTTGTGGTTTTATTATGATCGATTCAACACTCTGTAATACGACACGCATCAAATTCATCGCCATGAAGCATCTGCCAATTAAAGGAAGACAAGTGGCTAAGTTTTACAGAGATGTGATACCTTCCACGTAAATAGCGCTTACGATCGATGATATTGGAGACACGCTTTACATTACATAAATACTCACGCTTACGCATTTGAGAAGGAAAGAATTAATAAGTAAAAGTAATAACCTATCTAGCTACTCTCTAGTCTCTACACAGATCTATCAGTTATCACCATGAGGAAAAACAAACAATAGAAAATAAGGATTTGGTCTGAGAATCGTGAAACGCAAGGAATTAATGTGTTTTTTTGTTGCTTTACGAATTAGAAATTGGGGGTATTAAACTATTAACCATCTAAACAAATTAAGAAGTAATGTTGAGCTTAATTCTATATGCAAGGAATTAGTGTCTAGTGCCTAGCTAGTGCTAATATCTTCTTATTGTGCTATAAATAATTTTGAACCATTGACTGGCTGGGTCACACGAAGCATCTCCCCACAAGCATTGGCATCGACTGGCGATGATGTTGTTCTTAGAATCAATGTCCAAACAAGCGGTGCTGTTAGTGGGTAGCGTAGTCGAAAGGTGCATCCTAGAGTCTGATATCGGTTTCCATTTCGTAGCAGGACTAGAGCAGTCCCCACGAAGCTTTGCTCGCCTGCCCAACCCATCAGCCTGTAAGCATAAGACTGTTGTTCCATTTACTGCCAGCGTCATTTCTGGTGTATACATCCACTGCGCAGATTCAGCACAAGACCCTAGCTTCAAATCCAATGGCTTCTTAAATGAACCTCTCTGCACGCAAAGACCCGTTAATGGATGGTACAGTATTTGGTATGGCGCAACTTCATCCAGCCCCGCCCCTGCAAGTGCATTAGCATTACACAATAATATTTTCAATTCAATAACAAATTAACACCTCAAGAATTCATTAAGGCCCCTCTCCACCGTTAATTATTAATTACTGGTTGGATTAGTATGTGATGGGATTAAGCAAATGAAAACACACATATATGATATACCTCGGAAAGGAGATTGGAGTGCAGAAAGCCTTCGAAGAAAGGTTGAATTCCGAGGCCCAGACCAACCCCAATTCATCACTGCATAAACCTCATCCAAGCCCATAACCCCTTCTCTCAAATAATAACTACCCATAAATGCCCACAAAGCCCAGTCAAAATCCAATTCCGCTGCAACACCGAAAATACAATTGGAGTACCTATTATCAGCTAAACTACCTCCCCTTAGATCAATCCCAAACTCACTTACAAACAGCGGGTACCCTTGGTCCAACACAAACAGTATTTTGTCCTTCAACGCGTTAACCACTCGCCCACACACCTGGTTCGGGTTGCCCGTCGACCAAGCATCTCCATCCGAGAACGAGTACCAATGAAGCTCAAATACTAGCTTTCTCGTGAACGATAGATTCAGTGGTTGATTACGGAGGAAATGCAAGTCTTTGTCGTAATCTAAACCAGAGAGTATGGTGAGAACGTCTGGGTTGGCTCTGTGCACTGCTTCAGCTCCTTGTTGCATGTACCTGATGAATGATGATGATGTGATGATCGAGTTAACGTTGAGAAAGCTAAAGTAGTAGTTTCTACAATGATCAGAGCAAACAACACAAGCACGAAGGAATAAGGATATATGTATATATATTAATTAATACGTACTTGTACCAGACGCTCACATTCTGCTTGGGCCCTCGGAGCTCATTCCTCAAGCTCATGCCGATGACATTGGAAGTGCCATTGAACAAGGTAGCCATTCGGGTTAGACCCTTGATCCAGAGATCCGGGTCAAAGTAGATATCACCAAAAAACCCGTTACCATCCCTGTTGGCGCAACACCACCCGGGCTGGCTTATGTGGTTGTCAATTATGACCATCACGCCATTCTTCCCAAGATTGGATACCACAGCCTGATCAGGTTATTACCACCCATTTTCATTTAATTCAGCAATTAATCCAGATGATGATTGTCAAGGCAAGGAAATGAGTTAATGAAAAGACTGGAGATTAAGAAGACGATCTCACTTGGAAAGCTTGGATAATGGTGAGATTGAGCATAGATGGATTGTTTACTCTTATTGCACCGATGGATTCTAAGAGCCCAAGGCTCTCGAACGATTGTTGGACCGTTAACGAGGCTAAGGTGTCGTTAGTGGCCACCCACAGCGGCCATGTCAACCGAATGCAATTAAATCCCATCGATACAATCCACTTGGAAATGACGTCCAAGGGCTGCCTGTTTAGCCCCTCCGCCAGCACTGGTTGGAGGTGCGATACCCAATTCGCGCATGCCAACTTCACTCGTTTCCCACTTTCATCGACTATCCAACGGGAATCGGTGTATAGAGGCAGTGCTGTCGCAATTGCAGGCTGTTCTGGTAACAGAACGTTGGGATTAAGAACATGAAAGCAAACAACTAATAAGAAAAGGAGTTTGATCTTCATGTTGATGAATTCGTCTGTGAGGTACCACCATCCACTCCACTTGGTAAGTGTTTCTGAGTTTCTCCTCTGAATGAGAGCACTAACTTATAGAAGATATTAATGGTGGAGTACTACTGGTTACGAGAGGAGAGACAGACAAGCTTACATCTCTTGATGAATATACATTAAATGTACGTAGGACCAAGAAGCGGATGATCTTGAGAAGCGTTTGTCTCGTATCCCAAGAATTCAACACAAGAGTGGTTAATTAGCAGTGATCCAAAATTGGGTAAAGGGTTGGTAAAACTAGCTTGTACTTGCCCTCCTCTTTGTTTGTTAGAAGACTAGTCAACTAATTTATGATCATAAATAATTTTGAACAACTAATTTATGATCATAAATAATTTTGAACCAATGGCTTACAGGGTCACACGAATATCATTTGAACAAAGTCTATTAAGCCCGCGCCTTCTTAGCGTAGCCTTATCTCTTGCTCTATGAGTCCTATCTGGTGTATGTATCTTAGTTGTTCTTGCTTTGGTTTTCATTCACAGGAGAGAGCTAATTAGCTCTCCTAATCACAAGAGAGAGCTAATTCTACCTCTGTATATATATATATATATTATATATATATATATATATATATATCTTGTAATGATCGGCTGACATAAGATATAAAAAGAAAATCTTTCCCTTCAAACTCAAGTTTCTCATGGTATCAGAGCACGGTTCGTTCGACTTTTGCACCACCTTCTGAGCCTGCAATATTCGATCTTCTCTGACCTTTGTTCGTGGAGCAGATCACTGAAGAGTTTGCAGAACTCTATTTGCTTTCGATTGTCAAAGCTGGTGGCGGCGATATCTGATTATTTCGGATCATTGCTCGTTCGATCTTCTCTGACCTCTGTTCGTGAAGCAGATTGCTGAAGAGTTTGCAGAACTCTATTTGCTTTCGATTGTCAAAGCTGGTGGCTGCGATATTTGATTTTTTTTCGGATCATTGCTCGTGAAGCAGATCTCTGAGGATTCTGCAGGGTTCTCTTTACGACAGTCAGTCAAAGCCAGTATTTGTTCTTCGCTGAAATCAAGAAGGAAATGGAGACATCTTGCTTTGGTCGATCGATCATGGCGGATGGAAGAGAGAAGTAGAATGAAGGTGAGGGCGGATAGAGAGCAAATGCTGCACAAGCAGTGGGGCAAACTTCTGAACCGACCCACGCGACAGAGGGAGATCGCACTGCATTCGATGGATTGGCTAATGAACAGTGGTCCACTTTTCTTAATCTGTTGAATTCTTGCAAACCCAGCACAAACGAGAAGTTGACAAGTATGAATTGGATAATTGATATAGGAGCTTCGCACCATATGACAAGAAACCTGAACCACTTGCGTAATACCGAGACCGTGACCGGTTGTCAGGTTGGATTGCCCGATGGAAAGCATGTCATGGCAATAAAGAAAGGGATCGTCATTTTGAATGAGCACATGAATCTTACTGATGTGCTTTATGTTCCTCGTTTGAATTGTAACTTGATATCTGTGTCACAATTATTAAAAGAGTCAAATTGTAATATCCAATTCACTAATAAGTTTTGTGTTATACAGGACCGCACTTCGAGGATGGTGATTGATGTGAGTGAACTACACGGAGGGCTCTACTGCTTCAAAGGTGCATGCTCAAGCAAGGTTCACAAAGCAAAGGTTGAAGCTTCATACGAGTTATGGCACAAGAGAATAGTTCATCCCTCTAAGAAAGTAATTAAACTTCTTCCTTATTTGAACATTAGATGTGATAGTGGAAATAGGATATGTGGTTTTTGTTCAAAAGCCAAACAGACAAGAGGTACGTTTGATTCTAGTGAAAACAATGCTAAAGGGATTTTCGATTTGATTCATTGTGATTTATGGGGTCCGTACTCGGTACGGGCGTCTTGTGGTGCCACGTATTTTTTGACCGTTGTTGATGACTTCTCAAGAACCGTTTGGATATTCTTACTTAATGACAAAAGTGAAGTAGGCAAAACACTATGGAACTTCTTCACTATGGTTAAACGCTAATATGAAAAATTGGTGAAGATAGTTAGAAGCGACAATGGTACTAAATTTACTTGCTTGAAAGAATATTTCTCTGAGCAAGGTATAATACATCAGACCTCATGTGTTGAAACACCACAACAGAATGGACATGCCGAGAGAAAGCATAGACATATACTAAATGTTGCCAGAGCTCTTAGATTTCAGGCCAATCTCCCTATTGAGTTTTGGGGAGAATGTGTTATGACAGCTGGTTATCTGATCAACAGGACCCCCTCCACTCTCCTTTTGGGTAAATCACCGTATAAGATGTTGTATGGGCAGAAACCAAACTACAAACATATACGCACATTTGGGTGTTTGTGTTATACACGAAGCCTGAATCGGACCAGGGACAAGTTTGCCAGTAGAGCTAGACGTTGTGTCTTTGTGGGATACCCCTTTGGCAAGAAGGGATGGAGAATTTATGACTTAGAAAATAATGAATACTTTGTTTCTAGGGATGTGGTGTTTTAAGAAACTGAGTTTCCTTATGCTATTGAAGAAAAACAAGTCGAATGCAAACCCGATGATGGTAATCTTGCTTATAACCAGGAGGAGACTGAAGAGTGAAGAGGATACTGAGAGAGGAAGGGATAATGGTACTCGTGAGATCATAAGAGAGACAGACCAAGGTGACAGGTGTGAAAATAATGAAGGGGAGCATAAACTAAGGGGGGTTCTATGGAAGAAACGAATGCAGGGAATGAGCAACTTGGACGAGGCCATAGAGTGAAGCATCCTTCCACCAGTCTCAAGGATTACGTCATACATGGTGTTCCGACCACAGTCTGAGCCCTTCTGCTAGTTCATCTCGCCAATCTCACTCCTCAGGTACTCCCTATCCTATAACACATTTTGTGAATTGTGATAAATTCTCTTTGCAACACCGCTCTTTCTTAGCAGCTATCATAGCTAATCATGAGCCCCAGAGCTATTCAGAGGCTGCCAAGGACTCTCGTTGGAGAGAGGCAATGAGAAAGGAAATTGAAGCCTTAGAAAACAACAGAACCTGGACAGTGGTGGACTTGCCGCCAGGGAAAAAGGCTCTCGGAAGTAAATGGGCCTACAAGATAAAGTACCACTCAAATGGCACAATAGAGCGGTGCAAGGCACGTTTGGTGATATTCGAAAACAAACAGGTTGAAGGAATAGACTACAATGAAACATTTGCGCCTGTGGCAAAGATGGTTACAGTCCGTACATTCCTTGCAGTGGCTGCGGCTAAAAACTGGGAACTACATCAGATGGATGTGCAAAACGCGTTCCTTCACGGAGATCTGCAAGAAGAAGTGTATATGAAAATGCCCCCTGGATTTGCTTCGAGACTACCTGGGAAGGTGTGCAAGCTGCACAAGTCGCTTTATGGTTTGAAGTAGGCCCATCGTTGCTGGTTTGCTAAACTAACGACAGCCGTGAAACAGTATGGCTTTACCCAGTCACAATCTGATTACTCCTTGTTTACACTTCGACGGAAGCAGGAACAGTTGAATATCTTGGTGTATGTGGACGATCTTGTCATCTCTGTAAATAATGGCAATGTCATATGGAGATTCAAGAAGTATCTGAGCCAATGCTTCCACATGAAAGACTTGGGAGCTTTGAAGTATTTTTTAGGAGTGGAGGTTGCCAGAAGCCAAAAAGGTACTGTCCTTTGTCAGTGGAAGTATGCTTTGGATATCATATCAGAAACTGCATTACTAGGATCTAAGCCAGCTGCACTTCCCCTAGTACAAAATCATAAACTAGTTCCGGCAGATGGTCCTCTGATGATGAAACCAGAGAGTTACAGAAGGCTTATGGGTCGTTTAATTTACTTAACCATTACCCGTCTTGAATTGTCCTACTGTGTTCATGTGCTTGCTCAATTTATGCAAAACCCCCATGAAGAACACTGGGAGGCGGCTTTACGTGTGGTGCGGTATTTGAAAGGTAACCCGAGACAGGGAATTTTCCTTCCGATTGACAGTGATCTTCGATTGTATGCTTACTGTGATTCTGACTGGGCCGGGTGTCCACTGACACGACGCTCTCTCACTGGATACTTTGTATTATTGGGACAAGCACCTATCTCGTGGAAGACAAAGAAGCAGCTTACAGTATCCAGATCATCGGCTAAGGCGGAATACAGGTCTATGGCAACAGCTGCATGTGAATTGAAATGGTTAAAAGGGTTGTTGCATTCGTTAGGAGTTGGTCATCTTGATCCTATGCGATTACACTGTGATAGTCAAGCAGCCTTGCATATCGCTGCGAATCCGGTCTTCCATGAGAGGACTAAACACATTGAAGTAGACTGTCACTTTGTCCGCAATGAAATTCAGAATGGGAA